TAAGCAAGAAGCACCCTAACAGAAGCAACGTAACAGGCAAAGAAAGGTGCTTCAAGGTCTCAGTGTTTCTCTTGCTATTTTTAAAACCGCCCTATCTCCAACCAAAACAAAAACCTTTTATTGTCTTGTTCAACCAGTATTTACTATGGGTGGGGGGCACTGATAAGAACGTTTGGGATGAGAGGTTATTTCCAACAGGTGTTTTAAGCCTGACTCTTGCACATACAAGGAGTTAGAATTTTCTTTTAATTCACTGGGTTTAGAAAGGTAGAGACAAAATTTAGCCAAATAATCTTTCAAGAGTTTTTCTAAAGCAGCTGTCACTTCAAGCTACAAAGAGTGTGTGGGCCCCAATAGAGTCTCCTCTACAAATACTTCTGAAGAAGACACATACAAGACAGTTAGACATTCAGCCAAACATTTAGACATGAAAATCCACAAAGTTTTTGCAAAAAAGGTCAACAGTGATATGCCAGGCTTCTGCCATATCCAGCCAATGTAAATTTTGAAATATATATTTACTTATAAATCTGGTATACGATTTTCTGCACTATTTCACTGAAAAGAGAATATTACATTGGGGAAAGCTGATTTATCTAGAGTCCCTTTCAATGCAATCATCCTATGTTTTATCAAGAATCATGTCTAAACATTCATTTCTCCATATACCACCCATAATGTAGAGGGAGATCACATGAGGGTGACATACGTAAATACAGATGCCATCAATTATTTAGAAACAGATGTTCATCTCCCAAGATAAGTCAAAAAGCATTCTTATAAATAATTTGTTTTAAAACAGGAGAAACATTAGAAAAGACATCTGGGAACCTCAACAAAATGCTGCAGACTGGGGTGTAATTGCTCAGCAACTCAAATACCAATTCCAATTCAATCTTTTAACTTCTTATTTCATAATATAAGACACTGCATACTTTGGGAAATAATCATATGAGATATACTGTATCTCTTCCAAAAACATCTGCTAATCAGCTGGAAGAGTGGTTGAGCAAGAACTTACTATACTGTTTGCAAAAGTCAATAAATAGTAAAATATATTTTTGAATCCAGCAAAAGTTCAAGCAACAGCTGTTCATACAGTTAATCCTTGATTTATGACCACAGTGGAACCTAGAATTTCAGTCATAAGTCATTGCAGTCATACGTTAAGGCACCAAGTGACTGGATTTGACTTTATGCCCATTTTTATGACAATTGTAAAGTGAATTACCATGGTGGTTAAGCAAATCACATGGTTGTTAAGTGAATCACAAATCTATTATTCCAAATGTACGGGTTTTTTTGCCAGAAACTGGCAAAAAGTTTAAAAAATTAGTCATTTGACTATGGGACACTGTAACCGATCATAAATGTGATCTGGTTGCCAAGAGCTTGAAATATGATCATGTGGCCAGGAGTGTGTGGCAGTTGTAACTTCAAGGATGGGTTGTAAGTAGCTTTTTTTTGGGGGGGGGTCTGTCATAACTTTGAATGGTTAATTGATGGGTCGTAAGTCAAGGACTACCTTTATGCTGATCTGTTTAAGAATTGTGAAAGCAAGTGAAGTATCATAAATAAAAACCCAAGAGACCATAAAATGTACATAGAAGTATAATATCAGAATTTACATTGGGGAGAAATACAAAGTTATCAAAGGTGACATTGAGAACATGGCAGGAGGAATGGAATGTAAATTTGGTAGCTAATAATCACCAGGGCACATAAATGTATTTTGATTCATTTAGATATTCAGATAAGAAGTGGACTAAAACATCAGCAGAAATGCAGAGTCCACTTGGCCTGCCAAATTCCAATCTATACTCTAGTCTGGGGAGCACAGATCATATCAGTTCAAAATATCAGAGGAGTCACACTGTATCAGAACAATAGCGTATTTATTCTGCCATCCTGTTTCACACTACGGTCATAAGCTAGGAAGGAAAATACGATCTCTCACCTGTTTATCTTGGTATTTGAAGGGACAAACTGGCCTTTCTCAAAGATCACACTAAGCTACTGTTATTAAGACAGACATATTTTAAAGATTATGTGCATTCCAATGCCTTTTCATCTATAATTCCAGGTGGCTTATAGGAATAAAAACAGTAAAACAATGCATTTAAAAACAACACCTATTATAAGACTAGAAAAAGCTAAACTAACTATATTAAAAAAACAGATGCTACAAGATAACAGTTCCCAATTATGTTGCCCTTTCTGCTTCAAAAACTACAGAAAAGAAAGTCTTGGCTTCGTTAAATTTCCTGCTGGTGTTGGGCAGGTAAAATAAACACACAAACACAGTTAGAAAGGAGGGAGCTAATTAACCTCGGGGTTAGGAAGTTGCCATAGAGCAAGGGAACTGTGTCCAAGAAGGAACACCTCTGGGTTCCCACCCCAGATAAGGTGGTTCTGAAGGAAACAAGGATCCAATCCACAATTGACTGGATTCACACAACACACTAAGCCATAAACCATGGAGTACAAACCACAAAGCTTTGATTCAAACAACACAGTAAGTCAGATTCAAACAACCACACTCTGGCTTAGGAAAGTCTACATATCCACATTTCCCTAACTAGGCAGAAAAATCTATACTTAAATAGGCCTTTTGATTCTTTCTCTTTTCCATGTATGTATTTATGATATAGATCAGTGATGGTGATTAGAGACTGAGTGCCCAAACTGCAATCCAAAACCCATTTATGCATCGTCGAGTGCTGGGTGAGTGTGACCCAGTGAGTGGTCGTGGCCCATTGGGTGGGCATGGCTGAAGTGATAACGGCAGACTGGGTAGGACTAAAAAGTTCAATCAATCAATTCCAACTTTGCAAGACCTTTTTTTTCCCGCGAGAAGTTGAAATTGACTGATTGAACCTTTTTTTTTTTTGCACATGGCGGCGGAGGCCTAAAGCGAAAAAGGTTTATAAAACCCAGCTGAAGGCCTAGGACTGGGGCGACGGTGCGTGTGCCCACAGAGAGGGTTCTGAGTGCCGCCTCTGGCACCCGTGCCATAGGTTCGCCACCACTGATATAGATCTATGATTTGACATGAAAGAAGACCTTGGGTATATGTGTGCATGTGTGTATGACTTCAAAGATAGGCATAGCTCTTTTTAGGATTATGATATTACCACCTGAATTAGCTTCTCTTAGTCCGGCTATTGTGATCGAACCTGTAACAGTAAAAAATAGGAAAGGAGAAGAACAGAATAATATATTGGATATTATAATGTACCCCTGAAGCTTAAAAAAAAGCCAATGTAGTCACTGAATAAATGTTATAGCCACTAAACTGGCAATTAGGCAATTGCACACAACAAAAAATATTTAAGTCAA